TAGACTATTGTTTGATGTATGACGACATGTGCCTAGTGGCACCGGCACGTGTCACTTATACTTTATGATTATGATGTATGTCGTATAATATATATATGATGCATGATGACATGTATAAATATATAAGGATCTCATGCATCTGTTTGTGTATATTTCCCCTTTTATGATGAGGATGAGTACAAATGTGTACGTTTTGATTGTTGAGATATGATTCAAAGTATTCAAAAAGATATGATTTAGAGTAGTTAGATATGATTAAAATATTCAAACTACCAACATTTTAGGAGATTGTTAGTAGATTTGAATTTTTCTAGATTTCGATGATTTACTATTTCTGGTCTAGTGTATAAGCTATAAATACCGTAATTGTATAACCTCTAAGCATCAAGTCAGTAGACAATAATAAAGCACTGCAACATTCCACTATTATATCTATTCTTATCTCTTTCACTATCCCATTTTCCAACAATTTTGGTATCAGAGCCAAGTTCGTTCGACACGAGGGCGAGTGATTATTTTCTTTCACAAATCAAAAATGGCAGTAGCTGGCTTTTCTTCCTCTGCACCGTTGTTATCGATCTTTAATGGTGAGAAATATGAGTGGTGGAGCATCAAGATGAAGACCTTGCTCAGATCGCAGGAGCTATGGGACTTGGTGGAGCACGGGTTTGTTGATGTATTAGAACCCTCAATAGAAGAAAAGGAGAAACTAAGAGAAACTAAGAAAAACAATGCCAAGGCTTTATTCAATATGGACAAGCAGTTCATGAGATTATCTTCTCACGAATTGCAGCAGCAACCACATCAAAGCCTGGTCAATTCTACAGAAGGAGTTTCTAGGAGATTCAAAGGTCATGACAGTGAAATTGCAATCTCTAAGACGTGATTTTGAAACTCTACTCATGACGAATGACGAATCAATTGCTGATTTTTTGTCAAGAGAAATGACAATAGTTAGTCAGATGCGTACCTATGGAGAGAAAATTTCAAACGAAACAATTATTGCAAAGGTGTTGAGAAGCTTGACTCCAAAGTTTGACCATGTGGTGGCTGCCATAGAAGAAGCTAATGATCTATCCATACTCTCTGTTGATGAATTGATGGGCTCGCTTCATAAAGCATTAGAAAGGAACGAAGAAAAGGCACTACAGGTGAAGGAGACAACCAACAACGAGAACAACGAAAGAGAAAATATTCATTTAACAGGTAGAAGAAGAGGATTTCGTAGCTTCCATGGTGGTCGTGATAACAGGGGTAGATGGAGAAGTGATGGACAGAGACAATTCAATGAACAAAGGAATGTCATACAATATTACCATTGCAGAAGGTATGGGCACACAAAATCTGATTGTTGGTATCAAAATCAACGAATGAATTTTGCAGCAGAGAATGAAGAAGAAGAAGAAAAGCTGCTTATGGCGTGCATGGATACTAATCCAAAAAAGGGACTTATGGTTTGTTGATAGTGGATGCTCGAACTATATGATAGGCACCAAATCTTTATTCAAAGAGCTTGATGAGACGTAAAAAATTAAGGTGCAATTTGGAAACACAAAAGAGATGCAAGTTGAGGGAAAAGATATAGTGAAAGTCGAAACCAGTCATGGTAAGATAAAACAATTAGATAATCTTCAATTTGTACCTGATTTAGGGTATAATTTATTGAGTGTTGGACAATTGATGACCAGAGGACATTCAATTCTATTTGATGACAACACATGTGTCATTACATATAAGAAATCAGGCCATAAAGTTCAAATTGACATGACTTCAAATAAGATGTTTCCACTTGATATTTCTAACATGGAGGATTTTGCTTTTGCTGCTAGCACGAAAGATGACTCAACATTATGGCATCTCAGATATGGACATCTTCATATGAACGGCCTGAAAATACTCAAGAATAAAGGTATGGTTTTCGAATTACCAAGAATTGACTCAACTAATTTATGTGAAGGATGCATTTATGGCAAAGCAGATTAGGAAGTCATTTCCTATTGGAAAAATTAGAAGAGCTTCACATTGTCTAGAACGAATTCATGTTGATTTATGTAGGCCAATGCAAACGGAGTCCTTGGGTGGAAGTATATATTTTTTACTATTCATTGATGATTATAGTCGCATGAGCTGAGTTTACTTCCTAGAACGTAAGTCAGAAACTTTTCAGAAGTTCCAGATTTTTAAAGCTATGGTAGAGAACCAAAGTGGCTGTCACATTAAAGTTCTTCGAACAGACAGAGGTGGCGAGTTCATATCTAAAGAGTTCAATCTGTTTTGTGAAGAAGAGGGCATCCAAAGGGTATTAACAGCTCCCTACACTCCAGAACAAAATGGAATCGCTGAACGAAAAAATCGAACTATTGTGGAGATGACAAGAAGTATGTTACAAGCAAGGAGACTTCCAAACCAATTTTGGGCAGAAGCCGTAGCAACATCTGTTTATCTATTAAACATCTCACCAACAAAGGCGGTTATGAATCGAACTCCTTATGAAGCATGACATGGAAGAAAACCAACTGTAAGTCATTTACGAATCTTTGGTTGTGTTGCTTATGCTTTGAAACATCCTTAAATTCGTCAAAAGCTTGATGAAAAATCTGAAAAATGCATTTTCATTGGCTATTGTACTCAATCAAAGGCATATAAATTATACAAACCCCATCAGTGAAAAGATTTTAGTTAGAAGGATGTAATATTTAATGAAAATGTGAGTTGGGGTCGGAGTAAATAACAGGAGCAGCAAAAGATTATAGTTGAAGTTTCTCCAAATGAAGAGACAAGGGTCAACTCAAGTGTATCTCCTAGTGCCTCCACTACAACACAAAATGTGTCAAATTCATCATCTTCAGCATTGCTAAACAGCGATTCTTCTTTTGAAGAACTTTCAGATGAGACACCTCCAAAGAAGTATAAATCTTTAACTGACATATATGAGTTAGGAAGAAGCAGCTGAAAAAGAAGAGTGGAAGAAAGCCATGGTAGAAGAGATGCACCATTGAGAAAAATGGAACATGGGAGATGGTTGACTTACCAAACGAAAAAAATGCAATCAATTTGAAATGAACGTTCAAGACAAAATTTGCACCAGATGGAAGCATACAAAAGCATAAGGCTCGTCTTGTAGCAAAAGGGTATGCACAACAACAAGGTATAGATTTTGAAGAAACTTTTTCTCCAGTAGCTTGTTTTGAAACTGTAAGAACTATTCTAGCATTAGTAGCAGAATTGCGGTGGCCGGTTTATCAGTTTGATGTTAAGTCAACATTTCTTAACGGAGATTTACAAGAAGAGGTTTATGTAGCACAACCAGAAGGATTCATAAAGAAGGACAAAGAAACAAAGGTATACAAGTTGAGAAAGACACTATACGGATTAAAGCAGGCCCCTCGAGCTTGGTACAACAAGATTGATGAGTATTTTCAAAAGAAAGGATACATGAGAAGTGAGAATGAGCCTACTTTATATGTGAAGAAGGAAGGTAAAAGTGATTTCATCATTATTTACCTCTATGATGACGATATTATTTACACTAGCTCTTCTAACTCTCTTTTGGATAAATTTAAGTCTCAAATGATTAATGAATTTGAGACGTCAGATATGTAGGTCTATTACACTATTTTCTTGGTCTTGAAGTATATCAAGTTGAGGATGAAATTTTTATTTCACAAAGAAAATATGCCAAAGATATTATGAGTAAATTTGGTATGCTTAATTGTAAGCCTGTAGCTACACCTATGAATATTAATGAGAAATTACAACATGATGATGGAGCAGAAATGACAGATGCTAGAAAGTTCAGGAGCTTGGTTGGCGGATTAATTTATTTAATTCACACACGACCCGACATTGCATTTCCTGTTGGTATTGTTTCTAAGTTTATGCAACATCCTTCAAAGGTTCATTATGGAGCAGCAAAAAGAGTCTTACGTTACATTGCCGGAACTATGGAGTATGGAATTTGGTATTCTAAATCCTCTAATTTCAAACTATATGGATTCACTGATAGTGATTGGGCAGGATCATTAGATGATAGACGAAGCATTTCAGCCAATGTTTTCACTTTAGGGTCAGGAGCGATCACTTGGAGCTCAAAGATGTTTTCACTTTAGGGTCAGGAGCGATCACTTGGAGCTCAAAGAAGCAAGCAACAGCGGCGTTGTCAATGTCAGAAGCAGAATATGTTGCAGCAACTTCAACCGCGTGTCAAGCTATTTGGCTAAGAAGAATGTTAGCTGATCTTCAACAAGAGCAAAAAGGGACAACAAAGATATTTTGTGATAATAAAGCAACTATTTCTATGACAAAGAACCCAACGTTTCACAGTAGAACAAAACATATTGAACTTCGACGAATATATATTGAACTTCGACATCACTATATTCGTGATCTTGTTGCAGACGAAGAAATTATCTTTGAATATTGTAATACCGATGAACAATGCAGACATACTTACCAAGGCTTTATATTCATGATCTTGTTGCAAACGAAGAAATTGTCTTGAAATATTGTAACACCGATAAACAACTAGCAAACATACTTACCAAGGCTTTGTCAAAAGAAAAGTTTTGCTACTTTGGATTTGAATTGAATCAAAAGAGAGTGTTGAGATATGCTCAAAGTATTCAAAAGGATATGATTAAGAGTTGTATTCAAAAAGATATGATTAAGAGTAGTTGAGATATAATTCAAATATTCAAACTACCAAGATTTTAGAAGATTGGTAGTACATTTGAATTTTTCTAGATTTCAGACAATAATAAAACACTGAAGCATTGTTAGTACATTTAAATTTTTCTAGATTTCAGACAATAAAACACTGTGCTTCATCTATTCTATAGATAATAGAGCCACACATAAAAGAGACTGCTCCAAAGTATGATGGGTCCAAAGAGTGTGAACGAACCATTGAGAGATTCACCGCTCGTACAGGTTGTACGGCAGATCTAACTGAAGGTCAGTTTAGGAATATAAAATTATATTCCGGATAAATAAGAGGTAGCGACCTGAAGGTAGACTTTACATAGTTGAGTTCATACTGCAATTTTTGTGTCAAACATTTGTGAAATCCTGTTTCTCCCTCGTATTTATTTATCCATAATTTAAAACTTACACACCTTCACAAATATAATATAAAATCAAACGAAGACTCTTGGAATTGAAGCCGCCGCCGCCGCCGCCGCCATCTCCGTCTCCCTGAGTTCTGTCTTCAGCCCTCCCCCGCCGCCATTCGCCATCGGATGAACACCATGCTCCGGCCCCGACATGCTCTCCCTCTTCCTCCTCTCCTCCTCAAACGACACCCCGTATCGTTTCTCAACCTCTACGAATCAAATCAAATCAAATCAATCATCAATTTTCAAATGAATTTCTGAAACCACACACACTCGCTTACTTAGTGATAGACTCGGATCCAGCTGCTCATCCCGCGTTAGCGCCATCATTAGCTGCGGGATGCCCAGCGGTAGAATGTCGCCTCGATCTACCTGCCAGAAATGGAATACTTTCCCATACGTCTTGCACACTTTCTCCAAGTCCACCCGCTCGATCGCCCCCGGCATGCCCGGCATGAACAGAGTCCCGCTCTTCACTTCGTACTCATGCGAGTGCCAGAAACACTTCTCCTCGTCGGGCAGCGTCAGGAACAGATTCTCCGATATAATATACTCAATCCCTATAGTTTTAACAATATTTAATACTAATTAAATCTTCTTTCTATTTATTATTTTTTTTTATTGCTAGCCCTTCTCTCCTTTATTTAATTATATATATAATTATTATAAATAAAGAATTTTATTGGGTGGTTTTAGCAAATATTCTCACCTATGAGTCTAGCGTCTTTCTCGGGGCTGTCGTAGATCAGACACTGTCGAACCTCATCGTTCAGGTGGGCGCAGAAGTGGTGAGCCTCCAGTTGCCTCGTCATGTCGTGTGAGTAGAAATGAAACCTAATTCATCCAAAATAAAAAATTATTCAATTAATAATTACATATTAAAAACATCAAATCGGATCTGATTGTGGAAGGTAGCTCTTACGCGCAGAGGTGCTGGTGGATCTGGTTGATCGGTCGGAAGCGTTGGACGGCGGCGGTGGCGGTCTCGAACACGGCGGTGCTGGCGTGTGTCGCCTCCCCCGGAATTTTCGATTGCGTCGACATTAATTATTATTATTATTTTTACTGCTATTTTCTCAGATTTTTCTGATTCCTTATTTCATTTTATTCCTTCGCCATGGCCGCGGGGAATTGCATGCATTTCTCCACGTGGCAGCACTGATGTGTTCACGTGGCATAAGTTCTGGGTCCACGTGGCTTTAGCTACGGCCACGTCATCACCGTTCGATTGGGTTGAGATTTTTGTTTTTTGTCCAGAATACAAGCCCACGAAAACGGAAGCTAATTGATAAAATCTATTGAATCAATTAAATCTCAAATTTAATAATTTTTCTAATTAAAATCTTAAATAATAATAATAATAAAAGCACTTAATTAATGATTTTATATTTTAAGCTTAAAAAAAATCTAAAAAAATACTTCTTTCAAAAGAAATCATTGATATTTTATTTAAAAATACTTTTTAAATTTTGAGAAGTATCTAAAAAAACCCGTTAAAAAATATTCTTCAATTTTTAAAAATATCATTAATATTTTAACTTTTTTTTTAACTTCAAAACCATCATCAAACTTTTTTTAAAAAAATTTAAATATATATTTATTATCATTACTACATTTTAAAATTAATATTAGTATTTTAAAATATTTAAATATATATTTATCACTATTACTCCGTTTCAATTAAATAATTTATGAGGTATATATAGATAATTTTGATTTATATATTAACATTAAAAACTCTTTTTAAAAAATGGAAAGAGTATTGCATTTAAAATTTTAAAGATATTTTTTAAAAGTATTAAAGATATTTTTTAAAATTACTAAAGATAATATTTTTTAATTAAAAAAAATTGAAGTTATTAATGAAAATTTTAAAGTTCTAAAGCTATTTTTAAAAAATAAAATAGTAATAACTTATCATAATTTTAAATTTTCATTTTAGTTTTTGAGTTTTTACATTTTTTAACACCAAGGCTAAAGAAGAAAGAGACAAAGATTCGAGTTAGGGTGATTTCAAAAGTTTTGTACCTAGGACCAATCCAGAAAGACCACTCTTTCGTCTAAGGATGCCTAACCACCGCACCGCTGCAGCGAATGGAGAACAAATTGAGCTCGAGGTCAACAAGAAATAAAAAGATCTAACATACTAATATTGATTATTAATTCAAGGTTGGGAGTACTCCATGGAGAGAAAATCTGGTCTAAAATAAGTTTTATGTCTACCAAAAGTTAGTGGACTGAGTAATAAGTACGTATCATAGAATAATACGTGACTTTGGGTATGTACTAGAAACTTTTCTAACCGGAATTGAAACGAAAACTTAACCTAACCATATAAATTAGTATACTTATTCAAGATTCCAGTTACCCCTCAATCAAACTCCAAAAATGAATTTAATATCAAATTCAGCCATTAACGATTTTATTTTTTAAAAAAATAAGGATGTCATTGCAAACATGTCATGTACGGAAAAATCATTTTAAACAATTTGTTTTAATGTTGTTCTAGACTTAAACGTTGATAAATTCATTTTAAATTTAAAGATAATATCAAAGAAATTCAAGGTTTTTTAAAAATAGAAATGTAATTGTCATACCCTAACCTAAGGTGTAATCCAGTCGTAGCCCAAACCCTCTCGCCCCAACGAAACCACCCGCGAATCGAAACCAAACCCGAAGTCGTGAACTGCAGCCCAACCCGTCTGTGGCCATCGCCTCGGCCCAACCAAGAAAAAAGAACCAATCCATGCCTCGACTTAGCCCAATCAGCAGCGACCTGAGACCAAAAACCAAACCAACCCCGACCTGCAAGCCCAATCCACCTGTAGACAAAGACGCCAGACCAATACCCAACGCTGACGGCCCAGCCCACCTGCAACCAAAACCCTACAGCACATCGCAACCCAGAACCCGTGACCGAAGTTCAACCGGCCCGACGACACGCGCCTCGACCTAATTTTAACATTGCACACGCGGCTGCTTCTAATTGTGCCACTTTTCAGCGCCTGACGCAAAGTGTCCTCGGCTCCGGTGGCTTAGTCAGCTCTGGCGGTGGCGACTTCTCAGCTCGAGAATTTATTTCTGACCTGTTCTGCACTGTTTCGACCCTTCCGAACTTGATTACGACCTCGTTTAAGGTAAAATATGTCATGTTAAGGGTGTATTTCACAAATTTCAAATTGGAATGTAATTATGTTGTGAAATACTAACAAAGTTGTCGAAAGATCCAATAGGAACCAATCACCGATGAAAGCGTAGGACGCATTCAAGAAGCTAGGAGCTTACGTATATATTTTAGGGAGTACATCGACTAAGGCCTAAGGCCTACCAAGTAAATGGCTCTACTATCGTAGGTTACGTATTGTATGTTGTATGTTGTATGTTGACACGTGGCCATGAATTCACATGTGTCATAAATTGTATGTTAGAATGTTATGATTTAATATGTAAAAGTATGCTGTTTTTTAAATGACTTGATGTGCGACATAATGTGATGTGATGTGTTATGCTTAGAATGTTTATGTGATCGTTGAGATGTTTTCCGTATGAATCGCATGTCATAATATCTTATAATGAAAGCCTGAATTGTGATGCTATGTTCCTTAAATTTGGATAAGTATGACATGAAATCACAATCTATAGCATGAAATATAAGCCCTGTAACGACCCGAAATTTTCTACTTAATTTAAGGTTGCCGCTGTTATACATATCATAAAATTGAATGGAGAAGTATTTCATTTAAATTTTCATAAAACATCACCTTCATCTTAAAACACAGCCATGGACTTGCGTGTTTGGAAACACTTTTAAAAACGACACAACAAAAGACTAAATAAAATAAATAAACGTTTAAATTAAAAACATCCTATTCTAGCCTTAAGAAAATAAATACGGCTACCCTATGCATGTGTCATGGTCTCAAGTTGCGATGCCGTCGTCAGCAGTACATGAATGTCTTGCCTTAACCAGAAATAGAGGTAGCACGTGGCTGAGTATTTTAAGAAATACTCAGTAGGTGACCCCATTATTGGGGTTAAATGAAAGAACATGTGAATGCAATGACGTGATCTATCATATCAGTTTATTTTTCCTACGACACTATTCTAATGGGCAGCTTGGATGTACCATATACTCTACACACAGCCCATAAATGCGAGTATGAGCTCACCAGACAGTTCGCACACTGCTGGACCCCTTTTCTTGTTGGGCGAACCTTCTCTAGTAGCTCAACTTTTGTCGGACACCCATTAGAATTAGTAACCGTCACGACAACATTATGTAAAACATAACGATATTTTGCCTGCCTAATAGATGTACACGTCCGTACCCTTGTGATGGAGTAGAGGTATCCCCCAATGCATCTCACACATAATGCATGAGATCCCAACATTTTTCCGTTTTCATTATTATTTAATACAACCCCGTTAGCATTTTGTACATATTATATTGTTTTTCATATCATTTCACATATCGTTCATCATTCATATCATATCGTTTCTCATTTTTCAGTTCTCATATCATACATAATTCTAACGGGGTTATATTTCATGCCATTTATCGTGACTTTATGTCATTCATATCATGTTGTATACACACAATTTAGGAGACATTACATAACGTTCTATGCTTTTAACATAACATTTCATCATATACATATCATACGATAACATATTGCATCCCAATATATCATATCATAAACATGTCAATTTATTACATATCTCGTACCATAACACATATCATATGACAACATATCTATATCTATATCTATATCTATATCTATATATATATATACATATATATATATATATATATATATACATATATATATATATATATATATATATATATATATATATATATATATATATATATATATATATATATATATATG